GACCCAAAAGGAATCCTGAAAAGGTAATCTGGACATAGTCCGAATCAAGTATGAAGGATCTCATCGTGTACTTAGCGTGCCCAATCGTGATCTTGTAATTTGCAATGAAAGTGATAGCAAACGGGTGTGAGAAAGTGGTGCTTATGATGTAGCTCCGGCCCCGCGTTGACGGAGGATAAATATCGTCCGAACCGCATCTGCCGAACTCTCCCCGCACCAATATTCCCGATCAATCCGAAACTCGCGGAGGGAGAGAACTTACTGAAAGCCTTGCGATTGAGTGCGTTCAATGTCGGGGTAGCTCAATGAGGGGGAGGCAAGGATAGTGCTTCAAAGATCAGCCACAGACCCATGCTTCGCTGGTTCTGCTCAACGTGTAAAAGAGGCGGCTTTTCCTTGCTAGCTGAGTATTGTCAACTAAAGCAGTGTTTGGTATACAATTAATCCATTCGTAAGGTGAGACTATGGAGATTTCCAACACCTTGCACGCTAATATCTGTTAGTGATGTGGTTGTCGTTGAGCTCAGCTCTCAATATCCACATTTGACCAATGTTGAACGTTAAGTTGAGCAAGCATTGAACAGCGTTTCGACCACAAGAGGAAAAGGATAAACTTCCCACCCCAGATCAACCCCAATAACTCAGTGAGACTCATTCCATCATACGACTGCATATTGGCCTTGAGTTGAAAGTGAAGCTCTCAAAATTCCAAAAATGAAGCCGACCTACGTAGGGATCGAACCTACAATCTTCACAGTATGACTAGGGAGCCGAAATGTGACGCGATGCCATTTCGCCAGCAGGCCTGGTCGATGGAATTTTTGGCTGAAACAAGCGCTGATGTACCCCATTCAGGTGATGAGCTTGGACCAGTCCAGTCCCCGGATCTCTGAAAAGAGCTGCATGTAAGTGGGTTAGGGGGCAGCTGGGGCTTTATAGCTGTAATTTATTCATGTAAGTTACGATGATGCAGCAGCAGCTCTGAGAGAAGGAAAAGAACTATTGTTTGAGCTGATCATCTCCTTGGGGTATCGGCGAAGGATCGAGATCTACACCGGCAGTGCGCATGCGGGTGTAAGACAAATCATGCGGTCCGCTCCGTGTGCCGACGGACACCCGCTGACTGCCGCTGTTCGGTTGGTGCTGAAGCCTGCCGGCATGCCGTTGTCTCCGTCGAGCATCGCAGAACACGAGACTGGTGTTCGTCTATGTGCATCCGAGTTTAGCAATGCCATGTTGATAAGTAAAGTAGGCCCCGGGTCTCTTTACATGTCTTGAAAGGCTCCCACTATTCTCTTTCTCTTGGCTCAGGCGTGTGTCTCTTCAACTTCAGTTTCTAATCTCGTCAAATCCTCACCACCATCTCTTTTCTAACCGCCACAATGACGAGCATCCGCAAAGTCATCATCTCCCAGTACGGCGACGTCGACGTCATCAAAGTCGTCACAGATGTCTGCCCTCCACCGCCCCCCGGCGAAATCCAAATCGCCACGGAATACTCAGGCTTCTCCGGCGCAGACGTCAACATGCGTAAGGGCATCTACCCCTTCATGAAGAAAGCGCCCCTCACACCAGGCTACTGCCTCGTCGGCACCGTCCGGGCTCTCGGCGAGGGATCCAAGAACTTCCAAATAGGCGACGTCGTCGCCGTCCTGACCAAATACGACTCCGAGGCGGAGCTCGTCAACCAGCCGGAGAAGTACTGCATCCGCGTGCCCGACGGCGTGGATCACCGCCAGGCGACGGCGCTCATCTGCGACTGGAACACCGCGTACGCCATGGTCATGCACTCGGCGAGGGTGTCCAAGGGCCAGCGGGTGTTCGTGCACGGGATGAGCGGCGCCGTGGGGTTCGCGCTCATGAAGCTTGCGCAGCTGCAGGGCGCAACGGTCTACGGTACCGCAAGCCAGCGGAACCACATTGACGTCCGGCGCGAGGGCGGTATCCCGTTCGTATACAGCGACAAGAACTGGATGAAGGAGATGAACGCCCTGGGCGGCGCGCATGCCGTGTTTGACCCGCTTGGGTTTGAGAGCTTTGACGAGAGCTACTCCATCCTCGCGGAGGACGGCACGCTGGTTGGGTTCGGGAATAACAAGGCTTCGCTGAACGAGGGCGCGCCTCCACGGAATCCGACGGGTGCGCTGTTGAAGTTGTTTGCGAGGAACTTGAACTTGTTGACCAAGAGGAGCACGACCTTCTACGCGTTGAACAGGGACTCTGCGACGTATGTGCCTAATGTCACGGCGTTGTTGGACATGTTGAGAACGGGGACGATTACGGTGCCGATCAAGTGCGTTTGGGACATGGAGGATATTCAGACTGCGCATCGGCAGTGGGGTGGTGGGAGCGGTGTTGGATCCTTGTTGATCAAGGTGGCCAAGAACTAGTGCCTGGCGAGAGGCTGCCAGGAGATCTTTTTCTTTGTTCATGGCTCAGAGTGCATTTTTGATATTGAGGAGTTTGGGTAGAATCTATAGCCGTAGTGCGTCAATGACCTCGTTCTTATTCAAGTTGTATTTACAATTATCAGAGATCCGTAGGAACAATCGGATGGAATGAATACTTCGGTACTATGAACGCCATTATCAAGCTTCTGAGAATGGAAATATTCGCCTCCATTCGCAACCTTCCGTTGGGAGAAAGTTTCGGCGCACCCACGTAGTGCCCGGCCCTCCACTATCCGGCTTTCGGCCCCGCCATCTTGGTTTACGTTCGACTGATGTCGCAATTCAAAACAGTCAAGATAGGTAGGATCCGATAGAGCCGATTTGGATTTATAATACAAGATCTGATATTTGTAGAAGGAACCTGAAGGGGAAAACTAGAGTAAACATTGAAGGTCTGAAATCAGCATCTTCAAGTCAACTGATTCTAGGGAAGAACTTCCGAGGTCTACCAGATTGCAGCCGATGTATTACAACATCCGCATAGCTTACTCTAACCCCCAAGTTACGATGTCCAGGAACAAGGCTGCTTGGCTAACACGTGCAAAGACCTGCCCATTCAAGGTCGACGATGCCCCATTCCCGACTGCCGGGCCCGGTGAGGTTGTCATCAAAAATGTCGTGACTGCTCTGGTAAGCAATACGTCTCACTTGTTCTAACGCTACTGAGGATCTCTCTCTAATACCTAGTGATAGAATCCTGCAGAATGGAAGATTCAGTAGGTGACCCATACGAATCCAGTTGGGATGATTTCGACTGACATGGCTCAGAGATATGGGCATCATCGTGCAGAATTATCCCACCATTCTTGGGGCAGATGCAGCGGGCTTCATCGAAGAGGTCGGCGACGGCGTGACACACCTCAAGAGAGGACAGCGGGTCATAGGGTGCGCCATCGTCCCCTATCCATAAATGCAGTGCCCCCAGCGAGACTGACCTACCTAAGTCATTTGGTTTGTTTCCAGTCAATCTTGACTAACACCACGGATAGGTACTGTACCGGGCTAGGCAAACAGAACCACGAATTTGGAACGTTTCAGTTCTACAGTAAAGCCGACGCGAACCTCGTCTCTCCAATCCCAGATGACATGAGCTTTGAAAGCGCCTCAGTCCTACCTCTCGCCATCGCAACAGCCGCAGTAGGACTCTATAAGAAGCAGCACCTCGGCCTACCGCTGCCATCTCTCAACCCTCGCCGAACGGGCAAGACGATCCTCATATGGGGCGGTGCATCGTCCGTAGGAGGCACCGCAGTGCAGCTGGCCGTCGCATCAGGGCTCAGGGTCGTCGCCACGGCTTCACAGCGCAACTTTGACAAGGTGTTGGAGCTGGGCGCCGAGGTGGTTCTGGATTACCACTCTGATACTCTTGTCCACGACGCGCTGAAGGCGTTGTCTGGAGCGGATCTTGTCGGTGTGTACGATGCGATCTCGGGCCCAGAGTCGTTGAAGCCCATTGGTTCCATCTTGGATCAAATTGGTCGGCGGAGGGTCACTGTTGTGTTACCGACGGAGGGCGACTATGGGAAGAACGTGGAGATTAGCATGAGTAAGTCGACTCCCAATCAAGATAGACGATACCCAGAGCCATCATGACGAATGCTGATGTTCTCGCAGTGACTGCCTATCAGATAACACAGGATCCAGAGGAAGTGCAGAATCCAGTCTGGAGTGATTTTGTTCCTGGTGCTCTTAGGAATGGCCAGCTGAAGCCGAAGCCGGATGCAGAGGTCATTGGCAAGGGACTCGAGTCGATCCAAGCTGGACTTGATGTGTTGAAGCAGGGCGTATCTGCTAAGAAGTTGGTTATCCAGCTCTGAGACTTACTCACATGCAAAAGTAGTTACTTGCTTGTTCTTGGTTTCCTCGTCTGCATGAAGAGCTTCGGCGGCCACAGGCAGCTTCATGCAACATGCAATTGAGTTGATCTCATCTTTCTCCCGTGAAACATGAAGGTTCGCACTAGTGCAAAGGCATGAAGGTTCAGAGGAAAGAAATATCTATTCCTTTGATTTTACGGTTTCACATGTGAATAGGCAAGCAACGCAAAAGAAGAATCGGTTGGTGCTCCGTTTTGCTCCTGTCATTTTTAAGAGCAGACCTTGATGACTTGCCTCATCGCGCTCACCTTGATTGCCGCCCTCGGTGAGGATCAGGTGAGAAGGTGTGTCAGATGGGAATAGCGACGGCGGGATTGGCTCGGTTGACGCCGATCTTGGAGACAAGCAATGAGGATAAGTGGAGACGGAACGGAGGGACGGACTTCGGGGTGGGAGATGATCCATGTCATCAGTACATGGCACGTGCCTGCACCAGATGCAGCCAATTGCGGAGGGGGAGCCGTGCGTGCTTGCCCCGCCATGGAGCCATTCCGCATGTCGCAGCTGCAGCAGGCAGGCAGCTCCCACTTTGGTGCTTTCCCATGCTGACAGTCAGGTTTCCAGGTGCAGGCGCACTTTCTCCGAAGCAGCCGGCACACCGCACACCGTCAGACGATGACATACCACAGCAGTACGTACCGTGAACCCCTCCATCCTCCAGATTCGGCCCAAAATCAAGGCCAAGGACCGTGAGCTGGCTGCGCTCGGCCGATGCTGCAGACTCAACCCAGACACCAGACCAGACCAGAACAGACAAGACACCGGACCATGTCTCTACCGCAACTCTGAGTCTGTAGGTTCCTTCTCTGCTGTTCGTTGCGTTACCTCATGCCCTCCTCCACTTGGAACAGGGAACATACTCCTTTAGCGCCTCACCAAGCCTGTTCGGATAGCTTCAAAGGCAACACTCTGCCGCCCAACTACCGCCTCATACCCACGTACGCGACCTTACCTTGTCCGACCTAACTATCTGACCATCCTTACCCCGACCTAACTCTGCTGGCCGAACCACAGGTTGACACCTTCAACCGCGATGACGCCGTATGCATAGCAGCTTCAGACTCCTACAAGGCACCCAAGCTCACCTAACCCGTCCGACGAACATCAACACTCCTACTCTCGACTTTTTCTTCCAGCCTACACTCTAACGAACTTCGAGCGTTTCTCCGTTGCCCCGCCCTCTCGGTGGCCCTGATCGACCGTCTCCTCCCCCGACCCTCCGACCCCGCCGCGCCAGGCATCACCCTGGCTGTCGACTGTCCAGCTGCTCGTCTCACATGCTAGGTCGCACGCGACGTCACGGCCAACTCTCTCACCACCGCGCAACGAAGGCCTCGTCCTTAATAAGCCCTAAAGCGATATCCCATACGTTTCGGGTGGTCTCCATCCTTCCGACGCCATCCTCATGCCTCTTGAATCTCCCCTTCAAGGCTACGACCGAACAAATAATCCCATAACCGCCATCATGGCGACCGATGTCCACAAAACCGATGCCAAAGGCGATGCGAAAAGCGATACCAAGGTTCCTGCGCCAGCTCCCAACGCGGGCTTGGTCAGGAAACCGAGCGATCCTCATCCGGCTGGTCGCGTCAAGCACAGCTTAGTAGTGCAGGTCCTTCGGGGCTTCTCATTTGGCGTTTACTTTGCTGCTTGTTGCCTTGCGTACGTTCCCCCCAGAGCTGCTTCGTCAACTTTTGCGACAGCGTTGTACTGACATGTTCCGCGCGCAGCATCATTACGACCCAACTTTTGGGCGTTCCACTATACTGGGCGAATCGCGACATGTTCTACTCCTACATGGCGCTCACGAAGCAGTCCTTTGGCCTAACTATCACCGCCATGACACATATTTGGAGCAGTACTACCATCAGGATAAGCGGCGATGCGTCGATGAACGGGCAGATCCAGAAGACGGCGGACGGAAGGGTCCAATTCAACTTCCCAGAGCGCGTGGTGCTCATCGCGAACCATCAGGTACGATGCACCTTGTCTTTACGACATTTGTGACATGGAATATGGGGATACTGACGGTGCTGGGCAGATCTACACCGATTGGCTCTACCTATGGTGGGTGGCCTACGCGAACTCCCCGAGCATGCATGGCCACATCTACATCATTCTCAAGGAATCGCTCAAGTACATCCCCGGTGTCGGCGCCGGCATGATGTTCTACGGCTTCATCTTCATGTCGCGCAAGATGTCGACCGACCAGCCGCGACTCGCGCACCGACTTCAGAAGCTGAAGAAGCAACATATTGGCGCCAACGGGAACAAGTATCTCGATCCCATGTGGCTCCTACTCTTCCCCGAGGGTACGAACTTGTCCACCAATGGTCGCAGGAAATCGGCGGCTTGGGCCAAGAAGAACGACCTCAAGGATCCCGAGCACGTGCTGCTGCCCCGGAGCACAGGTACCTTCTTCTGCTTGAACGAGCTGAAAGGTTCGCTCGACTACGTTTACGACTGCACAGTCGCATACGAAGGAGTTCCGTAAGTGAAGTCTTCTCCACACATTCGTTTGCGACATTGTATGCGACACGCACTAACAGCATTTCAGCCGCGGCAAGTTTGGCGACCAGTTCTTCACTCTCACTAGCACCTACTTCCAAGGTCGGCCCCCCAAGTCGGTCAACTTCCACTGGCGTCGATTCCGCCTAGCCGATATCCCTCTGGATGACGCCAAAGTTTTTGACACCTGGCTGCGCGAGCGGTGGTACGAGAAGGACGCCATCATGGAAGAGTACCTGTCCACGGGACGCTTCCCCGCAAGCCAGGACCTAAAGGGTGGCTTCGTCGAGACGGAGGTCCGCCTGAAGAGCTGGATCGAACTCGGGCAGATCTTTGTTGTACTCGGCATTGCCGGCCTCGTTTTGCGCATTGTCGCCAATTCCATCACTAGATTCGCTTCGGTTCTTTAGAGCAGAAGGGCATGGCTACCTCGAAGACCTAAAAAATCAGTCCGTGTTTGGGGCTATTTTCGGTTCATTGGCGATTGGTTACAGGTACATTAGCTACGGCAAGGTTAAGATCAGAAATGCTGTGAGTTACGGTAGCGATTGAACTTTGGGACATGGGAGCTTCGGCTTGAGTTTGATGGCGTCCTTGGAGTATCTGGCGTTGGGCTATTCAGATTACCTCTTTGCAACGAGATACAGACTACAGTGTATCATCTACATCAGCGTTTGCCCTGATTGTGATCGTTGTCCCTTTCCATTCATGTCTTTGGTCAACTTGAAGGACTGATCAGGAGGGCGGACTTACGCCAGGGCAGATATCCTAGCTTTTGATTAGACGTGTTCAGGTCTGTCTGGTCGCTCACTCTACCGAAGGTGACGCGGTAGGCCATATCGGTTGCCGCACTGATGGCGCTACAGGGCACAGTCATGCCCGGTCTACATCTTTCCCTTCAACAGTCACGATGGGAGCGGTTATCTTTGCATCTTTCGCCGTAGAAAGTCGACGGGGCAGGAGTCTTGTGGTCGGGTCGGTCTAACGATGGATTCGAGTGCTATTTGTTGATACTTTGCAGTGGGTTTGAGAAGCTCGAGAGCTCGCGGGTACGAAGAGGCTCCATCTTAAAGCTGGACTAGGCGCGCTCGGTCTATCATAGTAGGGTCTTGTTCAGTTGGATTCAAGGTGCCAGGACACGAAGATCATGGATCGGACCGTGACGACCTTCTTGTTTAATGTTGTATGGGTGGCACGCGAGGATGACGAGATAGGGGGTTGGGAATCCTCGGAAATCCACGTTTCGACAATAGGCTATTACTCGCTTTCGATATGCCAAAGGTAGAGTACATAGTACCTAGATGATCAGAGTTTTCAGTGACTATTGGAGTAGAGTGTCTGAGCGCGAAGCAATGCGTCTCTATAGGTCTCTGGTGAGTTCATAATGTAGCCGCGCTATAGGTCGGGAATTTCGAAGCTGATGAACTGGAGGACTGTGACCTGCTGGTGCATGCTACGTGTATTCCAGACGGAAGCAAGGTCTATCCAGTGAATTCATGCCTTTAGCAGTCAACTTAACAGCCCGAATGTTACCTAGGACAGTGGAAGGTGCGCTCTGTAGCTTGAAGTAGTGGGAGCTGTAAAGGGGGCCTGATTAGGCCTGCCTGCATATCACTCACTTGTAAATCTGTTTCGAGGGCAAAGGTGGAAATGCCTTTCAATCGGGCGAAAGACGAAAATCCCATGTTGCTCATAATTGGTACCTACCATCCTGATCTTCAGCGTGGTTCTGCTCAAGTAGCTAGGCAGTTGCTGGTTGAAGTACACTCGAAGAAGTTTCTGGAGGATACCATGCCAGCGAACACTCACCTTACTTCAACGAGTACACCTAAGAGCTTCCATGTACTAGTCTCGTCAGCTTTGCAGCTGATCAGTGATCCTAGATGATCATGGGTGATAGGTTCGTTGAGCTGACGGCCCAACAAGTGTCAGGGATCTCGATGCTACTCAGGCTCCACGGAGAGACTTGAGGCATAAGCCTAATGCCCTACTACGGCTGTAACCATGCCGCTTGGACGCTGAGTCCTGGACACTGGGTCATCTCTTGCGGAGGGAATTGCATACTGTAGTCTCACGCCCACACTGTCCCGCGTCGGCATGTGGGCAACGGCGGCAAGAATCCCCCTGGCCTGAATGGAAGCATCTTCCGACCTGGTGGTATTCACGGACAAGGTCCGTTACTACAACAATTCTCCGACTCACAATTTGGATTTTCTTATATGTCAGGACCGGATTCCAGAAATTGCAGGCTTGACCTCACAGGGTCCGGCTGCTCAAGACCAAACAAACAATAGCAGGCTGGGCTCTTGATCTCAGTTGGCAGTTCTGCTGGTTGTTACCTCTGCCCACCATCGTGTTAATCCTTCGCAGGGAGTGTGAAGTGCCTAGGCTTCATACACCTACCTCGCCCGCGTAAGCACGCACATTCAACATGACGCTCCCGTGCCGTCAAAGTCGGTCTGCCCTCGTGGGCGGTAATGAAAGGGCTGCATGACTCGACGTTCTCGGTGAGATCTTGCCGATCTGGGAAGTATTTTAACGAGAGCCTGTGGGCTTTTGACATGGGGCAACTACCGGGAGGGGCTTTGAGTCTGAATGAAGATAGCAGATCATAGACTGGTGGAGAAGCCGGATATGAGCCGTCACTCATGATGCGGACAGTGGATGCATATGGCTGGAGGCACGTGGACTCGAGCGGGGATTGTAAGGTGACCTCTTGTGATCGCGGCAGGCAATTGAAGTCTCTATGATTTCCATATCATTTACACTGTTAATTCGCATCGTTTCCCCAAGAATAATGTTGTCAATCGCTCCACTTCCTGTTTCCCACGCTGTAAAGTATAGTCCCCCGTTCTCAAGGAACCCTGCGACTTAGGGTAGGTCGAACATGACGCGAGGCCTGTGTCCTGGTAACTCTTGCCAGCCTCTTCCTGTCCGTCATGTTTCATCATTTCTTGCCCGTCTCTCGTGTTGCATCGTTTTGTGAACTGAGGGGAGATGACTGAGAATTCGACCGTCTTGGCCGACGGCTGCCGCTGTGTTGGGCTGTCTTCAGTCTTTTATACTCGGCGACTATCCTGATGAAAGTTTGCTGCGGTATTGAAATGTCCTCCTCCAGTTCGATGACGATATTTTGGCCGTCTTGAAACATGTAGACCCCTGGGCGTTCGCGAAGCTCCTGTTTGACTGCTGGGTATAGGCGGCTTAGCGCATTCTCCTCGTCTTCGGTCAGTCTTCGATACTCGCGTTGAGTGTTGCTCATGTTTCCGTGGTTCCGTGATTGGACAGAGGGCGGTTGTCTGGACTTCAGATCGAAGTGGTGGGCTCTTTTGTGAAATGGCATTTGCATCCACTGAAATGCCGTGTACTTTCAGCTTCATTTATTCATTTCCTGGCCCTGAACTGAAAATCTCCCTCTTGATAGATGGCGGCTCAATGTGATGTTCTCGCGAGTCAACTTGCGAACGGGCACTTTTCAGCTCTCGAGCAATATTGAAGATTGCAAATCAGCAGCATTCCTCCTTCAGCGAATGCCAGTAAAGGATGAGAGTTCAGACAAAACCGGTGAACAAGCGTCAGAACTTACGGTCAATCCGCCGGGCGATGCTGGTCCGAGACCCTGTCAGTGGCTTGCAAGGGCGGCCAGCCATCCCATGCTCCTGAGGCGCTCTGAGGCACGGCCAGTTGGGCAGAATTAATACCCGCCCAACAGGGCGTCCACAAGACCCTTGCTAGGGTACTTTCGGATGTTAAAGTGCTTCGATTGGCAACCGGTGGGAGAAGAATGATCTTCGTGGCGCGCATCTCGGTGAGCTCCCTGGCCTGCTCGTGGTTCTATCCGCGCCCGTCATTTGTCCCACGGCTTATGCTCAGTTCTATCCAACGCGGATTGATACCTAGTAATAACAGGAATTGACCTGGGTATATCCGGTGGCGAACCTTACCGAATCATGATAGTTCCGACTTCAAGTTGTCTCGTGTCATGTTGCTGGGGATCTGGTCCTACCGTGCTACTTCAGCCTTCGCCCTATCCTGGGATTCAGGCATGGGTCGAGATCCAGCTGCTTACACGCAGGTAGGCTACGAGAGTCCGGAATGGTTCTAGTGATTCCTCCAATCGGGGCAAATTTCATGGCTGGGTTCGAAGTTTCTAGTGAATTTCTATCGTAGTAATTACAAACCTCCAGCTGAGCCATCCCTATTGCCGGTCTTCATCCGTGCATGTCGTTGCCGTACACCACGAAGGCACGTTCCAGTCTGGAAATTCGTCGGCAACTTCCCTTATTGCAGCCCCAATCAGCTCCTGAAGATCTCTGCAATAATTCTCAGTCTCTCGAAACACGGACACAGCTTTACTGCGCACAAACACAATTCCCTTCAGCCCTGGCATACGCCGTGGAAGTTGACGAATGGTACGCGTAACCAGTTCAGAGACCGAGCCCCTGTCGAGCCCGTTTCCGAAAACGGAATCGTCGATGGCCAAGTAGCGGACGTCCATCAGGTCTGACGCATCGCACAAAGACATGGCTGTAAAGTACTGTGCGGATGCCGCCATGAAACCTTTTAGTGGACCAAAGTGTAAGACGTCGACCTCGGGGTTGAAGTAAATCTTTGGTACTCCAGCTATTCCGAATTTCAAGTTACCATAGAATCGTATGGCCTCTTGTCTTGATTCGTGGCAAGCGTGTAAGATGGCCGGGACTTTTGCTGGAGAAGTTCCCCAGGTTGAATGGGATGTGTCGCATCGAATCGAAACTGTTCGGGTAGTTGGTAGGCTTAAAAACCATACCCTCATTCGAAGTTTGGTCGGGAGCCTGGGGAATGGATGCTTGGTGTTGTAAGTCTGTGAATTCAAAGATCCCGGGGGTCGTGTAGTAGGCAAAGTGTGCACTTGACTTACAAACACCATATCTGCCACACTGTGATGATCTTCGGCCATTCCTGTTAATGCCGGTTGTGTACCGGAGGGAGTCATGTTACTCTTGTGGAATGCAAGTAATGAAGGGCACGCTCATCATGGCCAAGAGTTGGAATGCTGTCATGTACCTTATTACAGACATCTTCAATGCACACATTACCGCGATATTGGGAACCGATCCTCGCAAATCTGTTGATGTTTTATCTCATCTTGAGAAACACCTTTAGCCAAAGCTTGAGTCGTGTGATCGCAGCCCTACGGCGAGCTGAGTCTGTCTTGCGAAGGGATTACGAGCTTCGTCGATAACACGGCTCGGTAGTTGTTCCAGGAATATTGAATCTTGATTTGCCTGTCAAGCTGAAGCTAGCATCGAGATGAAATACAAGAAAAAGAAAGGAGACACAAAAATCAATTTCTGAGAGGACCAGTTACAGAAACAACTGGGCAAATCACCGTTCTGGGCCGCCGTGTCAAATCCACCGGTAGGAGATGACTTGCAGTTTCACCCCAACCAACGGTCTATTGATCGTGACTACAATCATAAATCATATTGCACTTCATGCAAAATCGCTTACTCGGAGCCACGATTGGGCTGCGATGAGGCACTTATCCTTAAGAGTGTCTAGGGCCCTTGATTCTGGACGGTGGGTATCACCGTATTACAATAGCAGCCAACCTGTCCGAACGGATCGGACTTCGAATCCAAGTCAGAGAAGAGGCCTCATAATACCAGCGACAGAAACAGACACCCAGTCTAACATGCCATTGGGCAGCGTGGCCGGGGTCAGTAAGACCCGCACTTTTGCGCTCAGGCAAAAGTAGCAAATAGCAAACCGACATTCCTTCGGGTCTGTCCAAATCAAGACGGCGGCAGAACGGCAGAGAAGTTACAGGGACATTAAGTGATAATCACCCCATTTCTGTCACCTGTCAGAATATAAGCCGTAACGGGCTGAACTCTACGTAGCACCACGTACATGGGTCCATCTTGTGGCGTTGAATCGGTCAGCTAGAACCCTCTATCCTGGGCATTAGATTGGAAGGCGTCTCCGGGTCCCGACCGCCTGGTCAAAGGATCCATGGACGATCTGCCTAGCTTGGGCTTACAAACCTTGATTTTAGCCCTCGAGCAGAAATTCGTGGATTTTGCCCGGTGATCAAGGAGGGTGCTGTTGGAAGTGGCGTGGTTTTCCTCATGTAGGAAAGGTTGGTTTCAAATCAGCCCGGCAGGTGAAGTTCTTAGGAGCTCTACATATGCCTGAACGCCCATTTCAACGCTCGGGTTCTTGAAAAAAAGGGAAAACAACACTATTAGGCACGAGGTGGCTGGCTAAAGAACCCCTAAAATATTGCAACGATTCAGAGTAGTGCCAGCCACACCGTCACAAAACGTCATTTCTTGGGCAATGTCAGCCCACAGTCTTGTCTAACACATCTATTTCAAATTGTCTATTGACTGGCAGTGCCCCCTGTGTGTATAGTCAAAAGTAGGCGCGGGATAAAGATCGGAAGAACAATCGCAGCAACGCAAGAAGTTTAAGGGCTGGGCACAATATCGGAGAAGCATCCCTCGTCGCGTCAGAATGGTTTCGGTACCTACCTTGCT